GGCCGGGAGGGGCGGGGCCTGCGGGGCGGGGGACCTCTTGCGCCCCAACCTCACGCAGCCCCCTGCGTGATGAGAAGCGGGCCTTGGGCGTCCCTCACCGCCTGGGACGCTGGCGGGCGCCTCCGCCGACCTCCTCCTCCCCGGCCTCCGGAATGCGGGGCACCGGTGCCTGAGCGCGCCGCGCCCAGGAGGGGTCCGTGCGTCTCGGAGAGAGGAGCTCGCCGCACAGCCTGGGGCGGTCTCACACGCCCACCCCCTGCCTCTGCCTTCTGAAAACGGCATTACAGGTGTGAGCTACGGTGTCCAGCCAGGCACCTCCCGAGGTACTGCCCAAGTGCAAACCCTTTAGCCCGGCATTGAACGCCTCCCGCCGCCCAGTCTCAGCTCCCTTCTCCGCCCCGGCCTTCACCCAACCCTGACGGGGCAGTCGCAGTTAATAAAGCCATGGATGAACTTGAGAACCCGAGGCGCAGCCGGAAGGGGAAACGCATAACTCTAAGTGGGGAGGACGAGCGAGGAATTGGAGTGACAGAGAAGCCCTCTCTACCTGCCTCCCCCATCCTCCATCCCTCCTCCTTACCCTCGGCTCCCACTCACACGAATCTCAGTCATTCATTCCACAAACGGTGCCTTCTGCATGCCGGCCTCTGAGTGCGAAAGAGAGAACTGGATCAGAGGTCGTCCCTGGTATCTCCCATGCTGAAGGCCACGGGGGGGGGGGGAGGTGGCTCCCGGACCAGGGCACGCTCCTAGGCTTTGTAGGGTGACAAATACCAAATTACCATAATGTTCCCTCCATCTGAACAGTTAGGGAGACAGATGTTCAGGCACTGCAGTGGGCATAGTTAGCAGCAGCACTGGAACCTTATCAGCCAAGACTGGGATTTCAAATGAGTCCTTAAATTCTTAGTTCAGCTTAAGCAGTTCACTGATGAGGAAACAAGACACTGAGAAGCCAGTGGCCTCATGGGGTGGGGGGGACAGGAAGGGTCCTGCAGAGCCAGTATTAGAAGATAATGCTGGAGAGATCTTTCCTGTCTGGCCCACATGCTCATTGTTGGGAAACTAAGACGTGGGCAGGCAGTGTCCTGAGGATAGCATCCCTAGGGGAACAGCACCCAACATGGAAGAGGTCCCTGACTTAGCCATCTCTGCCTTTCAAAGGGACAGCTTGAGATTAAAGGGCCACAGGTGTGGACAAAGGCAGTGAGAAACAGAAGGTCCCTGTTCACACACAGCCCTGTAACTTCAGGAAGACATTGTCTAGGTGCCTTATACACACACATACAAGTAATGTGTGTGCATGTATGTCAGGGCCCCTGGCTCTCACTTGGCTTCTTCAAGTGGGGCTCTGCCACTTGAACCACAGCTCCACTTCTGGCTTTTTGCTAGTTATCTAGAGGTGAGAGTCTCCTGGAATTTGGTGCCCAGGCTGGCTTCTAACCTCAATCCTCACAGCTCACTCTCCTGTGTAGCTGGGATTACAGGCGTGAGCCATCCAGCCAAAGCTATGTTTAATACTGACTGCAGCCATCTTAAGTCACACCTCCACAAATGCTCCAAAATGAAAGTAGTGTTTCCTGCCCAGCTGCCCAGCAGGGAGAAGAACAGTTGGTCATGTGTGGAATGTGAGGCTTCCCAGCTGGACTCTGGTGTCAGCCATATACCTGCCTCTTGGATATCAGCTAATGGAAGGCAGGTGCCTTCTAGCTCTGTTACCCACCCTCCTTCCTGCTACCACAAATTTTGGAGGCTCACTTGATCTTGCTGCCCCACCCCCATCCCATCACCATTCTATTATTCTCCCAGTAAATCAAGCTTAGTGAAATCCTGTGTCTATCCCTGCCCCTTGCTGTTCTTTGGGGCTGGTTCTCATGTCCTGGGGCTGTGTAAATATTTCTACACTTCAGACACATGACAGCCAAACTCCATTTCAAGTGCTAGGGTTTCAATCTCAGCAATTCTGACAGACAAGTCTACAGGATGCAGGCAAATAGGCAGCCATGGTGAACAGTCAGAGTGCGATGGTTGTTCCAAGAGGACACAGAAGCAGGTGACCCAACCTGAGGGACAGCTGCAAAGATAATTCTAGAGCCAATGTCCCAGTTCAGTCTTGGAGGACCCAACTAAGTGTGGGAACCCTCACACTCAAGAGCCAGAAGCATGGCTGGGAAGGTGGCTCGGTGGTAGAGTGCTCACCTCGCATGCATGAAGCCCTGGATTTAATTCCTCATACACAGAAAAAGCTGGGAGTGGCGCTGTGGCTCAAGTGATAGAGCGCTAGCCTTGAGCAAAAGCAGCTCAGGGACAGTGCCCAGGCCAAGTTCAAGCCCCAGGACTGGTGAGAGGAAAAAAAAAAAAGGGGAGGCTGGAGGATCACAATTTCCGTGCCAGCCTGGGGTACCCAGTGATAAAGTGTCTCAAAACAGCAAACATTTTGGAAGAGCAAGAGAGCCAAACCATGGAACACTAAGTCCTGGCAAAAACTAGGAGTGAAAGAGCAGAGGGAAGCAGTCATCTGCCAGCACAACTGAGCCAAACAGAGACAAAGCTGGCTGAAGACCCCTACCAGCACTAGACTGAAGTATTGATACTGCTGGCATGAGGTCGCCACGGGAAGACAGGGGTGGCACATGTGCCACACACAACTACTACTCCCTGGAACCAATAGCGAAAGAAGAGAAGTTCAGAAGAGAAGCTCCAGAGAGAGCTTGGCTCAGAGCTGGAGTCAGGCAGGATTTAAAGTAACTTTCTATGCTGAAAAAAAAAATTACAGAGAAAAGGTCACTCCAGACAGCAGGGACAGCTCAAGACTTAATACCTGCAGGTGTGAGCCTGTGAGAGTATTGCATTTGGCCCAAGCACCATATGGTGACAGGTGAGCTGGATGGTGTGGCCAGCATTGCCAGGAGTGTGCCAAATGAAAAAGCACTCGTCTAGCACCTGCCTAGACACCGAGTGTACTCCCAACACCACTTAATAAGTCTGGGTGCTCAAGCCTGTTGATAGGGTAAACTAAACTTTACCAGAGAACCACGCAGATATGCAGGTACAGAGAACAAAGATTTATTGCTGGGAAAGGGGTCGGCAAGACTCCTTCTCACAAGGGAGAAGTGAGAAGAAGCACTGGCTATTGTCCGAGGTGACCTATATAACCTAGGTTTAGGAGGGCCTAGAAGGGTCTAGGAGGCAGAGACCCTGGTGAAGACATGAGGGCCAGGGGTTTCATCATAGCAGACTAGAATTTATGGCTGCTGCCCAAGTAGTAGATAAGGGCCCTGCAGCTGCCCAGACCTGAAGGTCACTCTAAGGGGCTCCTGCTGCCTTATATGGTGGTAGCTGCCCCAGAGAAGTGCCATCCCAAGGTAAAGGAGATTGGAGGCTAATTATTTACTGCCTTTACTAAATGGGTCTAGTGTTGACTAGGAAGGGAGCATGCTACGCTGTGGAAAGAGAAAGGAGTATACTAAGCTATGGGAAGGGAGCTCATTTTGCTAACACCAGTAATCTGTGTTCTGGAGAACGTAGTTCAAAGCTTGCCTGGACAGGAAAATCCATGAGATTCTTCTCTCCAAGTAACCACCAGGAAACCGCAAGTGGCCCTGTGGCTGAAGTGGTAGAGCACTGGCCTTGAGCAAAAAGAGCTCAGGGACTGCATCCAGGCCCTGAGTTAAAGCCCCAGGATCAAAACACACACACACAAACACACAGAGGTCCAGGCTGGGATGTTGATTTCTACAACTCAAGAGGGAGCTTTGAGCAGGAAAGGAACAAGATCTGGTCTTTAGTTTTTTAAAGAAAATATTTCAATTATCTGGAGTACGAGCAAAGCAAAAGAGCCAAAAAACAAAGTCAACAGACCTACAGGATTTTTTGGGATGAAAACCTCTTGAGAAGGGCACCAAGTCTACTGCAGTCAGGATGAAGAGTGTATAGAGCTGTCTCCCTAACTAGAATCCGTGTGTGTGTGTGTGTGTGTGGTTCCTGGGACTTAAACTCAGAACCTCGACTCCTGAGTAGCTAGGATTTCAGGCATGAGCCATGGTTCCAGGCTTTCAGAGCCGCGGGGTGTGGCTGTCAGAAGGTGGTGCGTGTCCTTCCTTCCAGTTATTTTCCATCAGAAAGATCTTAGAAACTGGCTTGGAAGGGGGCGGGGGGGGGGTAAGTGTCTTTAATCCCAGAATCTGGGAGGCCCAGGGTAGAGGATAAATCAGAGGCCAGCCTGGACTACATAGTGAGACCAGTTTCAAAAGGAAAAGCTCTGGGGAGGCAAAGAAAAGAGGATCTCAGGCTCCTTGTGAGAAGCCTGTCTCCATATCAAAAAAGGAGGGTAGGGGAGAAGCTAGAAAAAATAAATAGGGCTGGGAAGGTGGCTTAGTGGTGGAGTGCTTGCCTAGCATGCCTGGAGCTCTGGGTTCCATTCCTCAGTAACATGTAAATAGAAAAAGACGGAAGTGGTGCCGCGGTTCAGGTGGTAAGCCTTGAGCAAAAGAAGCTCAGGGACAGTGCCCAGGCCCTGGGTTCAAGCCCCAGGACTGGCAAAAATATAAAGATGTAGGGCCTGCGGAGCTGGGAGCTGGCCCCGTCACCCTCCCGGAAGAACATGACCTGGCTGTTACAAGTCCCCAAGAACCCAAGTGACTTTTACGCGGGTCCCAAGAACAGGGTGCAGCGGGGGAACCGTCCGCAGCTGGGGAGTACCCAAGCCTTTGCTTCCGTCCGAGGCCCCTTCCCGCGCCTCCCCGCGTTGGCCCTCCCACAGCGGCCCCTCTAGCCGCCCCGCTCTCGATGGTGTCGCTCTGGCCTCCGCGCAGCTTTCTATGGTCATCCCTACACCCCACCCAGACCCAGTGCTCGAGGTTTCCGATGTTGTCCGGTTCCGGGGCAGTCGGCCGCCTGCGCCGTTCGGGGTCCCCGTCTCGCTCAGCCACACTGAGAGACAGGCGTGTAAAAGGGTGATTTTCAGCGAGGGACCGGCTTGGCAAGGCCCATCGCCAAGGGAAAGGGACCCGGCTTGAGCGCACGCATTTCCGGTCCGCGGCACCAAGGGCTCCGGGGGGAAACCGATGGCGAAGAGAGGACGAATCCGCGTCCCACGGGACCGGGCATCTTCACGTCACCCGGGGTCTCCCCTGAACTGTCACCCTCCGCAGAGGGCACTCCCGCCTCCCCGCCTCGCTTTCGTTCTGACGGTGCTGGGGACAGATGGGGGGACGGGGACGTCGTTCTGCGGAAGGTGGCGCCCCAAGTGGGGAGAGAGCTCGTCCCCCAAACTAGCCGGCACCAGACAGATGTGCCTCTGGTCTCAGCACTCACAACCTCGGGCTCCACGGGTTTGGAAACTGACAGACAAGCTCGTAAAAAGACACGAGGCCTTCACAGCCCCGGCTGGCAGGAGTCCCCCTCGCCGAAGCAAAGCGGGCATTACGCTTTCCTTCAGAATCATTGAAGCCATTGAGGCAGGTTTGCCACCAACCAATAGTGGCTGGCCCCGTCTCCTCAGTCTGTCAACCCCATTCAATTCACGTGTGAAAGAAACTGGATTAGGATTTCTACAAACCCGAGAGGATACTGAAACTACAACAGCTGTGAGCACAGAATAAGACTATGATTGGCAGATGCTAGACTAGGAATCCATGTGCACTTCATCGCTGAGCTACATCATCCCCAAACCAATAATAATTTCTGATCACCTGTTTTAACATAAAGCCCATTATCTTTGTATCCCTTGTAGAAAGTGGTAGCCAGGCATCGCCGGCTCACGTCTGTCATCCTAGCTACTCAGGAGGCTGAGATCTGAAGATACGGGTTCCAAACCAGGCCAGGCAGGAAAGTCTGTGAGATTCTTTATCTCCAATAAACTATTCAGAAAAAGCTAGAAGTGGTGCTCTGGCTCAAGTGGTAGAGTGCTAGCCTTGAGCTGAAGAGCTGAAGGACAGCACCCAAGCCCAGAGTCCAGGCCCCATGACCGGACCCCCCAAAAAAACAAAAAGGTCTAGGGACGGCACCCAGGCCCAGGGTTCACAGCCCCAGGACAAAAAACAAACCAAACCAAAACAACAACAACAAAAAGCAGCAGCAGGGTGCCAGTAGTTCATGGCAGTCATCCTAGCTACTCAGGAGACTGAGATCTGAGGATCCAGGTTCAAAGCCAGGTCGGGCTGGAAAGTCTGTGAGAGACTTCTCTCCAATAAAGCACCAGAAAACCAGAAGTGGTGCTGTGGCTCAAGTGGTAGAGGGCTTTCCTTGAGCTGAAGAGCTGAGGGACTGCTTAGACTGTGTTCAAGCCCCATGACTGACAAAAAATAAAGGACAGAGCTGAGTGCCGGTGGCGCATGCCAGTAATCCTAGCTACTCAGGAGGCTGAGATCTGAAGATAACACTTCAAAGCCAGCCCGGCAGGAAAAGTCTGAGACTCTTATCTCCAATAAAACCCCAGAAAACCAGAAGTGGCACTGTGGCTCAAGTGGTATTGAGCTTGCCTTGAGCTGAAGAGCTGAGGGACAGTGCTCACCTAGAGTTCAAGCCCCAGGACCAAAAAAAAAAAAAAAAGATAAAATAAATAAAGGACAGGACCAGGTCTGACCAAGCAAACCGAGCAAGAATGTCTGGATCCAAGCCCTAGTAACAGCCGAAGCAAGAATCACAAAAAGAAAATGATATTACAACATTATATGATGTAGATACGAGAATGTATAAGAAAAAAGTCAGGGCTGGGAAGGTGGCTCAGTGGTAGAGTGCCTGCCTTGCATGCATGAGGCCCTGGGTTCAATTCCTCAGCACCACATAAAGGAGAAAAAGCCAGAAGTGGTGCTGTGGCTCCAGTGGTAGAGTGCTAGCTTTGAGCTGAAGAGCTGAGGGACAGCGCCCAGGCCCAGAGTTCAGGCTCCACAATTGGCAAAAAAAAAAAAAAAAAAAAGTCATACAGATGTATTATCAGTATAATTTCAATTTGTTTTGTTTGTGCTGGTTTTGAGGCATGAACTTAACCTGGGAGCTGTCAGCTTTTTTTTTTTTTTTTGCACACCTTCACTTCCAGCTTT